CTTGGGAGGCTGAGGCAAAAGAATCACTTAAGCCCGAAAGTTTGAGGTTGCTGTGAGCTGTGATGCCATAGCACTCTACCGAGGGCAATAGAGTGAGACTCTGTCTCAAAGCAAAAAAGAGAATACAGATGCCAGGGCTCCTGTAGCTCAGTGGTTAGGGCACTGGCCACATGCTCTGGAGCTGGTGAGTTCCAACCCTGGCCCAGGCCTGCTAAACAAAACAAAACAAAACAAAAAAAAATATCTGGGCATTGTGGCAGGTGCCTGTAGTTGCAGCTAATAGAGAGGCTGAGGCAAAAGAATCGCTTGAGCCCAAGAGTTTGAGGTTGCTGTGAGCTATGACACCATGGCACTCTACCAAGGGTGATAAAGTGAGACTGTATCAGTTAAAAAAAAAATACAGATGCTGGGGGCCCCCCCAGACAGTTCCATTTGATTGGTCTGGCTTGGTACCCAGGCATTGGTATTCTTAATATTTCCCCAGGTGTTTATAATGTACAGTCCAGATTAAGAAACACCGGTTAAGGGAGAAAGGAACATGTTAAGCATAATAAAGTTTTAAATGACTGCAATAGCCTTTGTACCCAAGTTTGTACAATGGCTTGCAAACTTTCCCTTGCCTTGGGTTTTCTCTAGCAAGATGGAAGCAGGTACCTCCGCAGGGCTGCTGCTGTGGCCAGCACTTTGGTGAAGCCCATTTTCAGGTGAGACATGAACAAGGCCAAGCAGAGCGTGTGTGAGTTCTACCACACCTGGTATCAGGTGGTGTCGAACACTGTGCACTTATTCTAGCTAGACATCACTATGAAACAGGGGAGGGATAAAGTTTAAGAAATGTTTATGAAGAATGCTCATGTCACATACCCCAGGGTGTTTGATTTTAGGGTCATTAGGGCAAGATGGAAGTGGAAAAAGCAATTAAATAATGGAAGCAGTGGGCATATGTTATAAGGTTCTTCCATGAAACAGAATCACGAAGACCAAAGGATTTCCTATCTAACTTCTATGTGGGCCATGACCCATGAAGTGGAAAGGTGCATGTTAATGTTTCATTATTTTAGAGCACAAATAAATTCATTATACAATGGTCAAAAAAAATTTCCCTTGCATCAAAATCACTTGGATTATTAGCAAAACTTCACCAATGCCTCCACTAATAATTGCACCCTAAACCACTGAAGAAATCACAGAAACTATTGATGCTGTCTGGTTACAGGCAAAGAAACCATACTGAGGCTCCACTTCTGCATGCAACAAGAATAAAGCCAAAGACCCCTATATAACCAACACCATAGATACATCATCAGGAAAGTGTCTTCCCTGTGAATTCCAATTCAAAAATTGGAAGAAGTGACTATTATACTAACTGTGCAGATATCAATGTAAAATCACATGAACATGAAAAAGCAAGGAAATATTACACCTGCAAAGGAACATAATAATTCTTCAGCAACAGATCCCAAACAAAAAGAAATTTACAATATACTGGGAAAAGAATTTAAAATATTGACATTAAAGAAGCTCAGTGAGCTCCAAGAGAATACTGAAAAACAACACAAAGAAATTAGAAAATAGGCTTGGCGCCTGTGGCTCAAGTGGCTAAGGCGCCAGCCACATACACCTAAGGTGGCGGGTTTGAATCCAGCCCGGGCCTGCCAAACGACAATGATGGCTGCAACCAAGAAATAGCCAGGTGTTGTGGCGGGCGCCTGTAGTCCCAGCTACTTGGGAGGCAGAGGCAGGAGACTCGCTTAAGCCCAGGAGTTGGAGGTTGCTGTGAGCTTTGATGCCACAGCACTCTAACCAGGGGAATAGCTTGAGGCTCTGTCTCAAAAAAAAAAAAACAAAACGAAATTAGAAAATAATTCAGGGTATGAATGAGAAATTTACCAAACAGATAGATATCATAAAAAAGAACCCAAGATAAATTCTGGAACTGAAGAATTCATTGAATGAAATACAAAATATATTTGAAAGCCTCAACAATGGAATATATCTAGCTGAAGAAAGAATCTTAAAAATGGAAGACAGGTCTTTTAAAATAAGCCAGTCAGACAAAAATGAATAAAAAAGAATGAATAAAGCCAATGTGACATATGGGATACCATAAGGCAGCCAAATATTCAAATTTTCAACATCCCAGAAGGGTAAAAGAAAATGAAAGTCTTAAAAAACTACTTAATAAAATAATAAATGAAAAATACTCAAGTCCAGTAAGAGTTAGTTAGACATCTGGACAAAGAAGGCTTAGAGATCCCCAAAGAGATATAATTTGATGTGGCCTTTTCCACAAATTGTCAAAAGTCAAAGGTAAAGAAAGAATCTAAAAATAGCAATAATAAAGCCTCTAGTCACCTATAAAGGAGACCCTCATCCAACTAACAGTGGATATCGCAGCAGAAAGCTCTGGGCAGGACACCAATGATATATATTTTAAAAGTGCTGAAAGAAAAATAATTGCAAACCAAGGATACTATACCCAGCAAAGTGATCATTCATAAATGAAGGAGAAGTAAAGTCTTTCCCACAGCAGAAAAAACT